CAGTTGAGCAGGCAGTCTGTCCGTTCTCAGATCTCAACCTTCATGCTGGGAGAACCACTGCTCTCTTCAAAGCTGTCAGACAGGGACTTTTACATCTGCAGAGGTTTCTGCTGCTTTATGTTTAGCTATGCCCTGTCCGCAGAGGTGGAGTCTACAGAAACAGGGAGGCCTCCTTGAGCTGTGGTGGGCCCCACCCAATTCGAGCTTCCTGGCGGCTTTGTTTACCTACTTAAGCCTCAGCAATGGTGGGTGCCCCTCCCCCAGCCTCGCTGCTGCCTTGCAGTTAGATCTCAGACTGCTGTGCTAGCAATGAGGGAGGCTCTGTGGGTGTGGGACCCTCCAGGCCAGGTGTGGGATATAATCTCCTGGTGTGCCATTTGCTAAGACCTTTGGCAAAGCGCAGTATTAGGGTGGGAGTTACCCAATTTTCCAGGTGTTGTGTGTCTCGGTTTCCCTTGGCTAGGAAAAGGAATTCCCTTCCCCCTTGTGCTTCCCAGGTGAGGCGATGCCTCGCCCTGCTTCAGCTCTTGCTGATCAGGCTGCACCCGCTGACCAGCACCGACTATCCGACATGCCCCAGTGAGATGAATCCGGTACCTCAGCTGAAAATGCAGAAATCACCCATCTTCTGTGTCACTCACGCTGGGAGCTGGGGGCAGGAGGTGTTCCTATTCAGCCATCTTGGGCACCCCCCCAATTTTTTTTTTTGTGACAGAGTCTCACTCTGTCACCCAAGCTAGAGTGCAGTGGCGCGATCTTGGCTCATTGCAACCTCCACCTCCTGGGTTCAAGCAATTCTCCTGCCTCAGCCTCTTGAGTAGCTGGGATTACAGGTGCCTGCCACCATGCCTAGCTAATTTTTGTATTTTTAGTAGAGGCGGGGATTTCACCATATAGGCCAGGCTGGTCTTGAACTCCTGACCTCAGGTGATCCGCCCACCTTGGCCTCCCAAAGTGCTGGGATTACAAGTGTGAGCCACTGCTCCTGGCTAGGACACAAGTTTAAAGTTGTATAAAGAACTTTAACATTTTAAAATTCTGACAGTGTAACTCAGAATTACACACTTTATACCAGCGGAGACTTTTATACAAACTTTGGAGATCTCTCCGAAGTCTGAATTTGTTGAGGCCTCAGATAACATGGCCCTTGTGTCCCATGAGCTCTGATGTTGGCAGTTGATTCTAAGTGGGCTCCCACCACGTTGCACAGAGCAGAAGCAATGCCGGGATGCAGTTTGTACATATGGGACCCCTGACTTGTCGCCTGGCTCACTCAAAGGCCTGCCGGCACTCTCCTGTGCCTGCAAATGACAAAGCTTTAGCATTCACCAAGCGGGAGGTGACAGGTCCTTCCCATCTCTTTCTATTCATGGCTTCAAATTAATAATTAGTCGCCTGAAAAATGAGCCAATCTGTCTCATGGAGGGTAAGAACCATGAGCCAAGGCAATTAGCGTCTTGGTTCTGACTGCCTTGGGAATTTAATTTAGTCACACAGCCCATTTAAGGTTTCCAAATCTTGTTGTCTCCTGAAGGGGGAAGTCATGATTGTTAAATGAGGGGAACACCCCCCGGGGACCCATATGTTGAGGATGTGCTGCGTCCTGGGCTGGCCTGGGGCACGGGGCTGGGCAGCTTTTGTGGCGTCCACATGCTTGCTCTATTCTTCTCCAGGACTCAGCAGCTGGCTCCAGGCAGCACAGCCCTTAACCACCCGTGGAGGGAGTGGCCACTGCCCCCAAATAGTTGCACACTTGAGCAGTCCTTTTGTCTGCTTAGAAGACATTCCAACTGCCCATGAGCAGTTGGTCTTCGCACAAAGGAGGGTGTCCATGGAGCAAGGCAGTCTGTCTGTGCAGCATATTGTTGAGTGGTTGTGAATCTGCAAGCCGGCAGTTAGTAAGTCATCCCCAGCACGGAAGGTGAGCATGGAATGGATGCAAGGCTGGGGAGGACAGAGGCTGAGGAGAGGACTCAAGGAGAGGATTAAGCCAGACAATTTAATTAGAGAGATGTGAAGAGTCACAGAATCAAGATATTGGGGCTCCAGGGGGAACTTAAGGAATGATCTAGGTCTTTTCTCTCTCAGGAACCACTCAAGCCTGATGATACTGAATCCTCTTTTATTTATTTGTACGTACTGTTTTCTTTACAGACGGGGTCTCACTCTGTTGTCGAGCTGCAGTGCAGTGGTGCAATCATAGCTCACTGCAGCCTTGACCTCCTAGGCTTAAGCAATCCTCTCGCCTTAGCCTCCTGAGTAGCTGGGGCTACAGGCATGTGCTCCCTTACTCTGCTAATTTAGTTTTATTTTAACTTTTTTGTAGATATGCATCTCACTATGTTGCCCAGGCAGGTCTTGAACTCCTGGCCTCAAGTAATCCTCCCACTTCGGCTTCCCAAAGTGCTGGGATTACAGGTGTGAGGCAGGGCATCCAGCAGAATTCTCTTTCAGAGAAATTCCAAGGCCTGGATTTAACAACTGTTGCTGGGAGAAAGTTCTTTGAATCATTCTGATTAAAAAATCTGCTTCTCCTTTCACAAGTGGTCATCAAGAACAGCTGGTTTTCTGTCTAAGAGGCTTCCGAGATTTGCAAAACGGTGGCTAATGATGACAACAGCAACAGCAGGGAGCACAGAAAACTCCACAGGCCTGGGCTGGGTTCATCGCACAGCCTCCATCTCTGGACGCCCTGTGAGGATCCTGTTATTATCCACATTTTAGAGATGAGGAAACTGAGGCTTAAAAGGGCTAAGTGACCAGCCCATTGACACAGCGATTCGAGCTTAGGCTGGCTCATCCCAGGCCTGGACTGTCCACCTCTCTCTCCTTTTGCAGCCGACCTGGCTGCCAGCTCTCGTCCTTCCTCTGCAGGGTTTGACTTTTCCCTCCTCTGTTCCCCAGGCGGTCCCGGGCACTGCCTGGAGTCTCACGGTATGCAGGGCCAGGCAGAGGAGCTGCTGACTGCAGCTTCGCTGTAATCTACCGATCCTAACAGCAGCTCGCACCGGGCTGGCACAGCTAACACGTGCGCACGGGGATGCGCAGAAAACCGAGTGACGCCAGCAAAGAGCCAGGGAGAGCATGGAAGAGCTCGAAAATCAACGTAACGCTGTTGGAGATGAGGGAGCACAGCACAATTTTGAGAGCCAAACAAAGCGGGGACAGAGAGATGTTGCCTCGAGATGTGGCCTCAGAAGGTCTTGTCGAAGCGATGAAAAGGAGGAGGTTCCCGCGGATACTGGAGCCGGAAGATGCGGCGAGGGTCCGGGTTAGCAAACGGGGCAGAGTCGGAGGCCCAGGACGCCAGGCCCTGGGGGTGCTGTCGCGGAGCGACGGCGGAGGCCGGGGTGGTGGGCGCCCCGGGTAGTGGAAGGCGAGAGTGCTCTCCCAGGTGGGCTTGGAGGGGCCTCGACCCAGACACCCAGGGCCGGCCGGCGCACCCACATGATGTTCTGGAAGCGTCTCTGCAGCCTAGTCGGTGTCTGGCGGAAGCTGGGCGTGGTTAGCCTGGCAGCCTGGCTTTGCGGACTCACCTCCGAGCCTCTTCCTCCAGTGCCTTCCCTCCCCCGCCAGCCCCCAACTGTAGGGGCTTGGGCTGCACCCTCATTGAGGACGCGGTTTTCCAGGAGCAGGGATCCTGGAGTGGACTCTCCCGCATCCGGGGGGCACATCAGCGCTCTCGGCTCCCCCATGGGGACACACTCACTGAGATCACGCGACCCGAAACCAAATGACCCACCACCACGACAGCCGCATCGTTTCCCCCCGGTGATTTAAAGGAAGGGTTTTTAGTGGTGGGTCCGGGAGGTTTTGGAGTGAGAGAACTAAGGGGGTGAGGCCCGAGGGAGGGAGGCGCATGGAAGCCGCCGCCTCTGACTGTCCTAAGGTGTGCCCAGGCCCAGAGATGATGCCCAGGCCCCTGAAGGGAGTGAAGCGGAGGCCGTGCTGGAGGCGAAGGTCAGCGCGGCCTGATTAGCCTCCCACGGTGACTCGGGAGGTGACTCGGGAGTCCGGGCCCACTCCTGCCTGTGGCGCCGTCCAGCCCTGGTCCCCCCAGGCTGTGGCTGCAGCCAGTGCGTGTAAAAGGAAGAACCCGGTGATGATTTTTCCTTGGGGGAGATAAACCCGTGGAGGGGTCTGGAGCCACAGGGAAGGTGTGTGGCATGCAGGATCTAAAGCTGCAGAGCAGAGAGCTGAAGACAATCTCCCTCCTCCGTGGTCCCTGGATCTGGAGAAGCACGGAACGTGCCCAGAGGCTCTGGTGCCCATTTTGCTGAGACGTTGTTGGGGCAGGAGGTAGAAAGGTGGCATCAGTGGATGGGTGGCAGCCCGTGTCCTGTGGCCGTCACAGGGCCAGTATCCAAATGGAACCCACGAATAACCCAACATTCCCAACAACTGAGGGTAGTAGCATTGTGTTTAAACGTTTTGGGTCTGAATCAGACAGTGCAGGGTTCCAAAGCCCACTTAGTCAGTTTTAAATGGTTTCTCTGAAAGCAATCCCTATGGGTAGGATTGGGTGCAAGTGGTGAATGTGGTCCTGGAAGGCAGCTGCGGGGAGGGGATGTGAGAGGGAGGGAAGCCAGCCCGGGAGTGTTCATTGACACAGGTTTCCACTGTGGGCAGCAGGGGCTCACACCTGCTAGGGACCCCCAGGACCATGTGCGGACCATACCTCAGCATTGTCTTACCTGGCAGGTGGGGAAGCTGGGGTCTTGATCCACTAACACTAAGCGGCTGAGGCTGCCCCGGGGGTGTTAGCCCCTTGGCCGTCCCACCTGCCCTCATGTGGGCTTGGCTGGGTTCCTGGGCAGAGAATGCCTCAGAAACTCGCAGTTGCTCTGTTGGGAGGATGGGGCAGCTGCCCTGGACCCTGCCTTCCCCACTGCCCATCCTCTCAGTTTCTTCTTGCATGCTGGCAGGATTCTGAGAGCTTTGCCCAGGGGTAATGTGGCCTGGCATGGCCTCTGCCTTCCTGCGTGGGGCTCCCTGGTCATGGAGTGTGCATTGCCGGTGGCGAGCCAGCGCACAGGGGCCTGGACCAGCGATGCACGGGGGCCAATGGTGAAATGCTCCCCTTCCTCCCCAGGACTGTTCTCAGACACACTCCCAAAGGCAGAAAGAGGAGCTGACTCAATATCCCACCCCACCTCTGTCAGCTCTGCCTCCCCAGCCTTACTCCTGCCCCTGGGTTCCCTCCGGGGTTGACAGCCTGCATCTGGCTGGGGTCAGGCTCTGCTCTCTGGGGACTGGAGCCAGAAGACGTGGCAAGGGTCCGGGTTAGCAAATGGGGCAGAGTCGGAGGCCCAGGACGTGATGACAGTGCTGAGCTGTTTGCATTGGTGCCAGACTAAGGGAGACCTTCCGGGATGGTGTGGGTGTGGTTTTGTGGGCAGGCAAGGCAGGGCCATGGTCTTAGCTGTATCAGCACTGTGCTGCAGGGTGAGAAAGGATGGGCAAGGCATCAACCCTTCAAGTGCATCAACAACATCCCCACATCCAGTTGTAGTCAGAGAGCAAAACTGTCAAGGACAGTGGCTGGACAGGCATAGGGAAAGTCCAGGAAGGTGTCACCCACTGACTTCTTCTCTCCATGCGGGTGTTCATGGCCACAGTAGGGACCAGTACCAGAGCTCCTGGGCATCCCCAGCAGTTCCTTGCTAAGGGGATCATGGTGGCAAGTCCAGGGAGAGCTCTGACCTCAACACAGGGGCAGAACACTTGGGACCCACCCACAGTACCTTGTGATGTTCTAGGGACCATCGAAAAGATAAAAAAGAAACTGATTCAGCCAAATAATTAGTTGTTTTCTTCTGTGCTACTATTGCAAAGTGTTAACTATTTTTTAAACTTGATATTTTGAAATAATTTTAGATTTATAGCTGAGTTGCAGGCGTAGTACAAAGTTCCCAAATACCCTTTACCCAGTTTCCCCAAATGTTAGCAACTTACATAGCTATGTGACATTGATCAAAACTAAGAATTCACCCTTGTGCAATGCCATTTACTCAATGACACACTTCAGTTGGGTTTCACCAGTTTTTCCACCAATGTAATTTTTCTATTTCAGAATTGAATCCAGGTTGCCCTGCAGTATTCAGTCATCATGTCTCTCTCAATCTTTCATTTGTCACTCAGTCTTTCCTTGTTTTTCATGACTTTGAACTTTACAACTGTACATTTACTAACTTTTAAAAACTGAGCTGGCTGAAAACTAGGTTGGTGGTTTTATTTCTGGGACTGTGCAGACGCAGTGATGATTTGGTCATTCTGGTACAGGACAGTCAAGGACATCTATGGTTTTCCTGGGCATGGTGCATTGCTCAAGATTTCCAAAGCCAAACTGCATGTCACAGTTCTATGTACATGTGCCTTGATGCACTTCTTGGACTGGTGCTCCTGTGAAAACAGACAGCAGTAGGGTGCTAGGACTGCAGCTGAACTTGGTGATGGTTGTCCTGAATGCTTGTGCTTTGGTAGAAAGGGCCCATTTGAGTCCCGACAAACCTACTCACTCCAGCATGACACAATGTGGCTCTCCCTCCTCCCTCCTCTCTCCTCCCTGTACTTGTGTGGCTCGGCCCACTCCTCCTAGAGGATTTCCTGTTGGCTTATGCTCCCATGCGGGTGTCCAACTGGTGGCTCAATGCCAGTCTAGGCTGGGTGTGATGTTCCCTTCCGGGCCTTATCACGCTGCCACACATGGGTGTCCAGGCCTTCCTGTGCCCCCTGCACAGACGCAGCCCCATGGCACTGACCGAGAGCAGCTCCTTGGGTTGCAGAATTGATTCCTCCATCTCCTTTTGGAGTAAGTGTTGCTCTCCACATGAATGGTAATCAGATTTTCTCTCCCTTTGATTTTATGTTCGTTCATGTCTGTTCCACCCAGATTCGCAAAGGAATTATTTACCTGTCTTTAGAGTTCCGTAGTTTTCCTAGCCTATGTCTTGGTGCTGGTCCTTTTGGGTTGATATTCTCAGGTGCTCACTGTGCTCTTTCAGAATGTAGTTTCAACTCTTTTTCATTGTTTTCTGAATTCTAAATTATGGGAAAGTTTCTTTCTTTTTTTTTTTTGCCATTGCAGAGTTCAGTATTTGTTCTGCTATTTTGCTTCGGGTTTTTTCTCTAGACACTTTATTACCTATATGCTGAATCATTTCTAGCTACTTGTCATTTCCTTAAAAGTCCTTTTTATTTTTTCCTTTATGTCCTTAACAGCTAAAACAAATTCCTCCTATTTCTCTCAGTGCATTGACTGCCTGTTATTTGCTCTTGTGTTCCTTCCAGTTTAGCCCTCATTTCTGAGATGATTTTCATTTGTCCTGAATTCTTTCCCAAGTCATCCTTTTTCCAGGTTTCCCTTGCTTCCCTCTTCTCCCTCCACACAGATGCTGTTATCACGCAGGGCTGTGGCCATGGTGGTCGCCCCCACTTGCTTGTATGTAGGGCCTAGGGGGTGGGGACTGTATCATCTAGTTTTGTTGTGAATTTGTCCATGTGTTTTTGGTTTTACTATCTAATTTCCATGTTATTTTTGTGTAGGATTCAAGGAGATTCAAAACCCAGGTCACTGCTGCCATCTTCCTAGAATCCCCTTAAATCCTCATGGATTTGCTGACATTGGGAGCATCCTGAAAGCATCCCCATGCTAAGGTGGCTGCAGTAACAGGTACAGTGAGAAATGATGGTGAGTCCCATAAATGCCCTCAATTCGACTTCCTCCCAGTACAACCTGACAGCAAAGATGTGCAGGAGGGAAGTTAGAATGGTCTCAAATGACTGTGGTTATAGTTTACTCTTGCAAATTTCACAAAAACATGTAACCACATGAACACATCCCAAGACCTTGGAAAGGGCAGCTGTCCACCATTTTGATAAGGATTAAGTAGATCAGGGTATATCCATAAGATGTAATGGTATGCAGCCATGGAAAATAATCTTTCTGAATTTAAAAATAATCTTTTCATAATAATGAATGTGCATTATAGAAAATTAGAAAATATAGGCAATAAAGCGTAAAGAAAATAAGAAAATAACACCCAGAGGTTATCACTAACACCTTAGCATATATCCTTCCACATTTTGACATACTTTGACGATGTTGCATGCAAAGTGAAAAAAAAATCAGTACAAGTTGCATCTACAATGTGATATTGGGTTGTAAAATTATGTATGTTTTGAAAAGTATTAAAATACAATAGACCAAAAATGTTAACAGGGCTTATTTGTGGATCATAGGCTTAGTGGTGATTGTTATTTTCTTATTTCCTATATTTTCCACAACAGGAATGCAGACTTTTATAATCATTAAAAATGAATTATTTGAAAAAGTAATTATGGTGATTTCAGAAGTGAGGTTTGGTTGTGAGTGTGTGTGAAATCGGATGAACAGCTTATTTTATGTCTGCTGATTATGTGTCTGCATTATGTTGTTTCAGGTTCTCCCCCCTCCAAAAAAAATCAAATCAGATTGTGAATTTATTCCCTGACATTAACACGTGGCATTACAGGAGCATGTACATCACATGGTCAATTTATTGGCATGAGGATTATATCATCGGGGAATAAATGGGAAATTCTCAAGGTACTTTGTTCCAGTAATCAGGACTTTATTTATCTCTAAGCTAAAAGAGGGGATTGAATTCTTTAATGATGATCAGAAAATGCTTTTAGGAAGATTCCTTTCCTATTAAACAATTTCTTAAAGTTGCAGTAAATGTTATGTGGCCTGTCCATTCCCAAGGAAGCCTGTAGAGGGCTTGGCAGCACACTTTCCTTTGTCTTCAAAACCATTGGAAAGAATGTCACAGGAGTCGTGGAGGAAAAATAATTACAAAGAGGAAAAGGTTAATCAAGGGGCAGTTAATGTTACTGATGACATATTGGTAAGGTTCTCCAGGCCCAATTCCTTTTGGGGGACTTTGGCTTCCCAAGCAAATGCCACTTGGTGATATGGCTCCCAACACTGGCCACCTGAGTGTTCCCTACACTACTGGAGAAATTTAGGCCTTAAATTAAAATCAGAGTCATGCAACTTGATTATATTTTGGCAGTTTGATTTAAGTGCAAGTTCTTTGAGATGTAAGAATGTGGTTGGTTTTTAGTGATGTAAACTAAAAGGTCTGGTACTTCCAGGAAGCCCAGCCCTGGAAGGCCTGTAGGCTTCCAGTGAGAAAACTGGAGACCACACTCACTCGTCTCACTGCCCTTTCTTTGGGGCTGCCTGTGATACCGGGTTATTCCCCTCCCTGCGTGCCACTGTGCTTACCCTGTTGGAATATGATGGTGGACTTGCCAGAGGAGAGGACCATGCTTTTCAGGAACAGCAGTCCCCTCCTTACTGGTTGAGGCAGCCAGCAGGCACCCCTATCCATGAGCCACAGCTTAGCTAAGGCAACCCAGTCCAGCTGCGTGCCCTCTCTCTGCTTCTGGGGAGGTTGGAAGGACCGGGGCATTCATGCTTGTTTCTAGGGGCCCTTACTGGATCTCTGGATCAAGACCTACTCAGGGCAGAAAGACTCTACTCTGGGTTCCATGTTAGGACTAACGGATGCATCTTTACTCAGATGCAGACAGTGGACAATTAAAACTCTGACCTGAGAGTCAGCCACAGCCTTGGTACTCATAAATGCTCTGCTTGGTCCTTCACATTTGTGAACCATACAGGGGAAGCTAAGTTGTGAGCAGTGCACCTTCACAAGCAAAGCCTCGACTGAAATATTCTGTAACAATTGGCTGGTCACTCCTAAGCGTAATCTACCCCTTTCAGAACACTGGGGACGACTTTAGAGACATCGAAGCCTCCTGATGAGAAATAGTGTCCACTCACTGGGAGAACTGAAATATCAGCGGATTTCTACGCAAATCTCACAGAGTCCTTCTGGTGTCCTAGGGATTTGCTCACATATAAGGGACTTTCTGGTAGGAAGAGAGTCTCTTTACATTCTTTATTATATGATCCTGGTGGCTTTGTAGAGAGATGGTACAGCTGAAAGATCATGCCCTGGGGCGCCAGTGTGTGTGTGAATGCTCTGTGACCTTGGGCTAACTGCTTAGCCTCTCTGAGCCTTAGCTGCATCAGCTTTGAAAAAGAGGATGATAAAATGGAGTCACCTTATTTGACTTTTATAAATACAATGACACAAGTTATGGGGATGGGAAGAGAGTAGGTGAAAGAGAAATGAGAGAGAGAGAGAGAGAGAGAGAGAGAAAGAGAGTGAGAATGAATGATAAACAATGTAAACAACAGTGGGGAGTGGACCAACGCCCAGCCTGGCAAGCGTGAGCCCAGACAGCCTTCCCTCCTGGCTATTGGCAGCCTCCGCATGGAAGTCTGTCGTTGCCTTCTTAATGATGAGAGATGTTCTGGGGGCACTCCAGGATTCCTGGACATGGGATCATCTTCACAGCTGTGTCTATTGAAAGCTGAAGTTTCAGTCTCCCCGCTCCCCTCCCTCCCCGAGTGACTTCCCAGGGGAAATTCAAGGGCACCTGTGACTGCATGACTGCTTTCCTTTCCTTTACTCAATGCCGTCCTCTGGTGAGAGCCGTGTCTCATGCCAGGATACATGAGGTGCTCTGTAGTAGTGTGTTTTCCCTCCTGGGTGGTAGTTTTATTTAAATTTGAAGTCATAAGGATCACTAAATAGAACCATGAGGCAACCACTCTGGGCACCTGCTGGGGATATCCACAAGAGCTGACCACAGGTGCCCCCTGCGCCCAGCAAGTCCTTGGCTGGACAGTCACGCAACAGGCATGGGGATGTGTGGCCGCCAAGCCCTCCAGGGCAGAGCTGTTTGTAATAGTCCCAAATGGGAGAGATGGCAAATGCCCACCAATGGGGCAGCATGGATAAATGGATACCACACATCTACGGTGATGAGTGAGCCCCAGCACCTGTGAGTTCACCAGCGTAATGTTGGGTGGAAGAAGCCAGGAGGAAGGGCATTCACATTCTACGATTCCAGCTACACTACGTTCAAAAACGGACAGAGCTAGGCTGTGGTGCTGGAAGCCAGGACAGTGGGATCCTTGCATGTGGGGGGTGGTGCTGGTAGGTTCTGGTAATTTTCTCTTCTTGATCTGGGTGTAAACATTTTGTGAAAATTCAATGAGCTGTACATTTATGATTGGTACATTTATGATTTTGTATGAATATTATACTTTCATAAAAACTCCTTTAAAAATATGATTGTGAACTTTTTTTTTTAACCCATTTTCTGTCAATTAGCACTGAACTGCTCACTATCTAATGAGTGGTGCTAGTTTTGACTTGCTAGCTACACTGTCCTGAGACAGAGAGGGTTTTCTGTGCTTTGTATGACCCACTCTGGAACCAGGGAGGGACGGGGAGCACTCGGAAAACGTGTGCCGACAGATGCTGGACATCCCCGTGCTGGTGGAGGCACGCTCATTCCTCAGCAAAATACCCATGTGGGGTGTTGGCAGGGGAGAGGACAGAAAAGGGCAAAGGATTTGTCTCTGCGAGCATTCCTGGAGCTACTTCACCTTGGCCAAGCCCCCGTCCAGTCCTCTCCTAACGTGGACAGACCAAGGGGCAGAAACTCGTCAGCCAAAGAATTTCTAAGCTAGGGGTTGATAAATGCTTGGATAATTTGCCCATGAACACGGTGGAGTCTTCTTCACTTGCCATCACGGGGGGCTAAGTACCCCAGTTTTTTTGGAGAGAATTGAGGGACTGTGCCATTGCGGTGTGAATTTCAAGAGATTTTAAACAGAAGGCAGAGTAACAGTGTGGTTTGGGAAGCTCCAAAGATAGTCGTCCTGGTGCGGTTTCTTCCACTAAAAGAGCGGGGACGCCATGGACCTGCTCACTAAATTCCAGTCCTGACACAGCTCTGCCAGGCACTCTCCACATCAGGGCAGATGGGCAGGAGGAGTTTACACAGTGATCTAGGGGCCGTTAGAGCATTGAGGGCTCCATTGCTGTCTCTTGTCTCTGTTTCCCACACTATGCTGAGCGCTGGGAACATGATGATGAACTTGAAGTAAATAATGTATATAGTGATTCATTTCCAAGACATAGTGCCTTGAATCAGTTTAGGTCAACAAACTACAGAAGAAACAGGATATACTAGGCCCCTGCTTGGAGAGCCGATGCCTGTTTGTCACCCCTCGCCCCCTTAATTGCCCTCACCAGAACCAAAGAAGTTTAGTTTAAGATGAAAGTTTACTAGCCTGCAAAATAGCTCACTTTGTTCTTATCAGCCTGCCCAGTTACTTAGGTCATAAGTCAAATACTTGAGGAGCCCTTGAGCTAACTAGGATTGCAATGCATTGTGGCTGCAACAAGATGCAGCACGACCACTCTAAAGAAAATGCCTAAAACCCCTACCCAACAACCAATAGGTGACGTCCAGGAAGACTGTGACCCCCATAGTACTTGGCATTTGAGGAACCAGGGCAGGGGCCTGTGCACTAGGGGATAACTTGCTTGTTGAAACTGTGCTGGGTGCGTCTATCCGTCAGATACCCGATCTTGCAAGACTGTCATTAAGATTCTCACTTTTGCAGTTCTCCGGGTCTCTGAGTCCATTCTTTGGGTTTGGACGAGTGAACTCGTTTCTCATAAAGTGAAGTAGGGTGGTTCCTGCCCCCCAGGTGGCTGTGTCCCAGTCTTCCTTGGTGGTGCTCCCCTGGTCCTGGTCCTGGTTCTGCTGCCATCTGCTGCCATCCTGTAGAATCATCTTCAATCTTTCAGCCACTCAAATACCCTTGGTGTCCATGGTGTCTGAACAGCTCATGTAAGTGCAGGCAGCCCTAGGGGCTCTGTGCATTGGGCAGCTTGCCTTCGGTTGAAGATGTGGCTGTCCTCCCATTTCTCTCTGCCGATGCCAGCAGCTCTCCTGCATCACCCTGCTGTCCTACGACTGCGTTCTCAACACACAGCTGAGAGCGAGAGCAAAACAGCGTGTGTCCATGATTCCTAATTTCTGTTGACATTTCTTGGTAACATCAATAAAGCAGCAGTGCCGATGCGAATGGATGTGAATGCCTTGGAAGAAAACCTTGGAGACAATACGATTCAAGGCACGTTCAAATAAATCCTGTATCCCCAATGCTCTTCAGGGGACAGAGCCGGCTCTAATTCAAAAGTGACACAGAGGCATCGGGTTCTGGGAGGAAGCAAGTCTTAGGACACATATGTGTCCTTTTTGTATATGCTCAGGAGAAATCGATGACAAGATGATTTATCAATAAGTCTAAAAGGCCAGGTGTGGTGACTCATTGGCTCACACCTGTAATCCCAGCACTTTGGGAGGCTGAGGTGGGAGGATTGCTTGAGCCCAGGAGTTTGAGACCAGCTTAGACAACATGGTGAGACCTCTTTTCTACAAAAAAAATTTAAAAAATTAGCTAGGCATGGTGATGTGCATCTGTAGTGCCAGCTACTCAGGAGGCTGAGGTAGGAGGATTGCTTGAGCCTAGAAGGCTGAGGCTGCAGTGAGCCGTGATACCACTTGCATTCCAGCCTGAGTGACACAGCGAGATCCTGTCTCAAAAAAAAATGTCTAAAAGAACTTTTTCGATAAATGTAAAAGCTCTCATGTATAAGAAAGCATTGTGTCATAGAAATTGGCAGCTTTTTTCTTTCTTTCTCAGGGCTACACAAAATAAGAGCAGGGCTCCAGGAAAAGCAATTATGATGTGTGGTCCATGCTGCATACTCAGAGCCAAGAGTAGGTTAAGTCTCAACTCTGCTACTTTTTAGGTATGTGATATCAGGTTCCTCTTTGTTTTGGGTTTTTCATCTGAAAAACAAGGATAATAATAATGCCTCCCTTACAGGCTGTTGTAAGGATCAGATGAGATAATATATGCTAAGTCCTTATAAGTCCTTATCACAGGACCTGATACCTAGCAGGCAGTGAATAAATATTAGCAACTTGTATTGAAACTGATAGAAATGCAAAGATAAATTTAAAAATCTACTATCGTGTGAGATTTTTAATGCACAGCTTTTGAAACTGACAGAGATCAAGAAGATAAAAATAAACAAAACTCTTGAATAACAGAGACAAACATCACATAATAGCTAATGGGTCTTTTTACCCACCAGAGTGTGTATATTATTTCAAGTATACATAGCAGAGTCACAGAAATTGGTCATGTGTTAAGCTGTAAAGAAATGATCAACAAACTCCAAAAAATAGAAATCATGATATAGGTCACACTTACTGATTACAACATAGTAAGATTAAGAATTGACAACTGAAGATACATATATATTCAGAAATAATAGTCTAGAAGTAAGTGTACAAAGATGCACATACAAGGTTTACTGCTAGTAATAGAAAAAATGCAAAACACCTAAATATTTTTCATTAGGGAAATGGTTACAGTCATGGTGCAGCCACACTGTGGAATACTATGCAGTGGTCAAAAAGAATGAGATCCACTTACATACATCTGCACACAATGATGTCCAAGACGTATTGATAAGTGGAAAAATAATTCTAAGAGCAACAATATGATACAATTTACATCAAAAAATACAAAATGGAATTACACGTTTCATGAAATGACATTCATGGCCGGGTGCGGTGGCTCAAGCCTGTAATCCCAGCACTTTGGGAGGCCGAGACGGGTGGATCACGAAGTCAGGAGATTGAGACCATCCTGACTAACCCGGTGAAACCCCGTCTCTACCAAAAAATACAAAAAAACTAGCCGGGCGAGGTGGCGGGCACCTGTAGTCACAGCTACTAGGGAGGCTGAGGCAGGAGAATGGCGTAAACCCGGGAGGCGGAGCTTGCAGTGAGCCGAGATCCGGCCACTGCACTCCAGCCTGGGCGACAGGGCGAGACTCCGCCTCAAAAAAAAAAAAAAAGAAAGAAAGAAATTCATTTCCTACACACACACACACACACACACACACACACAGCAACATAAAAGGAAAGCTGTGAAGGCAAGTCCTGGGATGTGACTCAGCATGGTTATGGTGATGATCTCTGGGGAGGGCTGGCATTCAAGGTGGTTTGGTTAAGGAGGGCTTTGTTAGACATTCTTATTGTGAAGATATACGCATGCATTACTGATATTATTTAAAATCATTTAAAATAACAAGGAAGGTGAGAAAAGAAAAAGTTTCAGGTACCACTGTCCAGTGGAAGCACAAAGTTTGCTTTCTATTTTTTCTCCTCTCCTTGCTAATCATTCATCCTTATCTTCCTCTACCCATGTTTACGGAATATTATAAACTTGACACAGCCACTCAGAGTTTCCATACAATGTCTTGTCTCCCTCTCTTTGTGATCGCCAGGTCTTCCAGGTGGCTGCCAATGGTTTTGGCCTCCTTGAGCCACACTCTCATGCAGTCCTTTCCACATTCAATCAGGGCTGGCCTCTGTGTCCAGCAGAATGTTGTTGGGTCAGAAAAGGCACTGCAGCTCCCACCTTGCTCTCTTGGGTGACTCATGCTGGGGGAAGCCAGCCACATGCCAAAAGGATGCCCAAACAACCCTGGGGAGGCCCATGCAGAGAGACGCTATGGCCTCCTGCCAGCAGCCAGCTCCAGCTCAGCAGCCAGTGAGGGCTGCCTTGGCGGTGGATCGCCCAGTCACGGCAGTGCCTTCAAATGATGGCAGCCCAGGCTGACATCTGACTGCAGCCCTCTTAGTCTGCTTTGTGCTGCTATAACAGAATTCCATAGACTGGGCAATTCATAATCAACAGAAATTTATTGGCTCATGGTTCTGGAGGCTGGGAAGTCCAAGACTAGGGGCCCAGCATCTGGCAAGGGCCTTCTTGCTGCATCATCCCATGGTGGAATGGCAAAAGGTGGGAGAGGGGAGGGAGAGAGAGACAGAGAGAGGGAGGATCAAACTTGTTCTTTTATAATGAATCCACTCCTGAAATAGCAAACCCATTCTCATGGTAACAGAATTAATCCATTCAAGGGGGCACAGCCCTCACAGTCTAATCACCTCTCAGTAGCCCCCTCCCAGCACTGTTGCACTGGGGATTACGATTCCAGCACATGCTTTCCAGGGGCCACATTCAGGCTGTAGGAGAGTCCAAGTCAGAACCACCCAGCCTGACCGTTAGTGAATTCCTGACCCACAGAAACTGTGAGAGATGATAAATGATTGTTGCAGTTTCAGACCACTAAGTCATGGACATTTAGCTATGCAGCATTAGGTAACTGCTAATTACTGGCCTACTAATCAG